CTGTATACGTATTTCTGTCTCCCTCTCTTTCTGTTTTAATGCAATTTACATACTTACTGAACGCATTTTATAAATTATATTTGCTAAAATGTAAAACATTTAATAGGTGTAATTTTCTTCTTTCTTTTGAAATCTTTAGGCAAGCAGTGCTTGCCTTGCTTATCCGGACCGCACGCCACTGATCCGACTGCATGTATTAACCTGTTGAGTGGTGCTGATTCGGAGATAATCAGAGATTGACATTTGTCTCAACATACGAACATACGATGAGTCCGCTCTAAGGCCTTTTCCAATTAATTGTGGTTACTGACCAGTAAATTAGGTTACTAACCCAAATGATGCGGTAACACCACAATTAATCGGAATAATGTCCGTATCACTCAACAAATTGGGGTAGCACCGCAATTTTAGGGGATAACTCCTTTTCCGGGTAGCTCATCCATAGAATTACCCGTTTGCATAGAGATGAAACTAACGACACACGAGACGTTTCTTAAGTGAGCCGAAAATAATGGTTTCGTATATTGCAGAATGTAGTTTAATTGCATTAATTTACTTTTCTGTGTACCTCACAGACTCAAACATAGTCAACCACCTATTAAATAGATAAGTTCCTCGTGGATGAACAGGTACTAAGAATTGACGCCAATTTCGAATTATGTCCTCTCAAAAGTTACTATCCAGTCTTTTAAGAGGATCAAGTTTTTCATAGGAACTCAGTAATTTTCCAATACTCCTCCACTTCTTTCACTCAGTGAAATCATGATCATTACGAATTCATTAGGCGATACATTGCAAAAATAGAATAGAAATTGGAATTCAGTCAAATGAGAAACGAGCCCAAGAGCATTCTTATCAGCTATCGCGCTGATTATATAATCCGGGAGCGTTAAGCGAAAATCACTATCTTACGAATTATTCCTCCCGTTGTTCGCTGGTGTTCGTTGAAAATGGTTTTTGCCATAACGCCGCTTGCTGAATTGAATAGTTTGTCTCGCAACGTGTGAAGCTCTACCTACTGAAAATAAAAAATAGAAACAAAGAAAAAATCCAGACAATGGAAAAGCTTAATTCAGTTGAAAATTTTTAGTGAATGAAAAATTCTATTGGCGCATGTAATTTAGTTCCCGAAAAGAGCCGTGTAGCTAAAAATCTGGAACCCTGAATCCATCAGTAGTGGTGTGCAAACTTTCAGAATCCTTAAAGTTGAGCTTTTTTAAAACAAACGAAATTCGCGGCTATCCTCATGCCTTTTTGCCAAAATTAAAGCCAAATCAGTTCCCCGCGTCTTTCTGTTGAGCTGAAATTTTGAGAATCTTGACAGGCGCGACTGTTCCATTCGAAAGTAGCCGAATCGGGGAATAATAGTGGCAGAATAGTATTTGATGGATGATATCCTAGATAATGTGATAGTTGCTTCCATGAGCTATTTTTCTCGAGAGCACTTTCATGATTAGCGTTGTGAGCAGTGTCGCGGCGAGAATTATCGATAATCGACGTATCCCCATTTGAAGCTGTGGTAAAGAATCGATTGTTTAAGTGCTTGCGAACGCCCTGCTTATAGATCCTTTTCCATAGGTTTAAACGGCAGATTAGTCGATATATCGCAAAGCACGCCACGCCACTGGTCGTGAGAAGCGAGACAAGAATCGCTCTTTTTCGAGAGCCATCCAGGGCACCTTGAAATGAGTTCGATAGCTACTTCACGGCACAAATTACGAGCTTCAAATAGCTATGAGTGCACCTCTTGTAAACTCGGAAATTTCCTTCAAAAACGGAGAAAAGAGAGTCTTTTTTTCGGACTCATAATGAATGCCAGGTTCCTCATTGTCCAATTCCCAGTCGTTGATGAACTATCACTTTTTTTTAGTACCTAGTGATTTCTATCTAACAATGGGTGTCATCCCTTTTTTCCGCGAGAACGTGCCGCGGCGTGGTTAATCACTGTAAATGCAACAATATCGGCATATAGGACTTGTTTTTGCCTATGTTTCGAGAATGAAGGCGACCTATGTTCCGTCGCAGAGTGAGGTTTGCCTTCCTTTGAAAAGGGTAGGCAAAAACGGATTCCTCGATGTCTTAATGGTAGCATCCGCAGGAATTGACCTGCTCGCAGTTTCGAAATTTCATGAAGCCTAATGGCGGAAAGAAAGTTCAAACTGACTTTTGATGCTTTAAACGTGGAATTTGGAAGCGAATTTTTCACAGAATATTCATTAAGTAAGACTAGTTTTACCTGAAATCATCAATATCTCAATTTTTTCCAAAACCGCACGTATGTGCCTTCTCTTCCAGCCCCTCATGTAATCTTACTGAAATTTAGAGGTTTCGACCTTTTAAAATAAAATTTTAAAACATACACCTCTTGTTAGGTCAAATTTTATTTTCTCTCTATGTAATGATATGTAATGTCTATGCCCGCGTATTGCCAACAAAAATAAAATGTGTATGTCTTTAATGATTTTTCGGACGTTTGCGAAAAAGGTCCACAGTCATAGGGAAATGAATGTGATGACCTTGGTCCCTTGGATGAACAGGCGNGGGGGGGGGGGGGGTGTCGAGGAAGCGAGCCAGGGGTCAGTTACTCTGCAGTTGGATTGCTGGCAGATGGGAGTCGAGCCGGTCTCTAATCCCGAATTAGAAATAGGTCATTAGGAACAAGCTCCAAAGCCGTCCAACTACAGATCACTCACATTTTTTAACACCTCACAGTTTTTTAAATCAATCGAACACCTAGCGCTTTGAGTTCCGCAGTCAGTAAGACTTGTAGAAAAAGCGAGGAAGATTGAAATAAAATAACTAATAATTGATGAAAATTCTTAAATAATTCTTGGACAGTTAAGCGCGTGTCACAGAATCGGGGTTTGGCAATAGAATCGAAAAGATCTGTGAATAATTAGACTAATTGGATTGTTGCAGTAAGGAATCCCTACTTCTGGCTCATTCACGAAAGCAACTACCTGCTCGAAGAAACTATCGGCACATAAGTTGTTCCTGAAAATAGTCAAAAGTAGTGGCTCCTTGATGCACAATCTAGTCATTTAGTACGGACATTCGAAATATCGACGATCGATGGTTTCGTTGTAAGCACAACGAATATAATCTTAAGTCTCAGTTCTTTGTTTAGTTTTTATGGTGTTAGCTCATTCCGACTTGGCTGTTAATCAGTCATAAATCATCAATTATTTAGCTGAGATAATCAGACGAACATGAAACATTTCAGTCGCGGTAAATGCTTGTATTCGACGACCCGGCGCGCGTGTAACGACTTCCTCTTCTTGATGGCTAACTCGAATTGGCAATTTATTGGGGTTTTTAATTGTGACTTTTCTTTTTAATTCAAGTCACTTTTTTCTATGTAAGTAAGTCCAAATTCTGTGTAGAGCGCATCGTGTTATTTTTTTTGCAATTTTGTCATAGTTATATAGCATACCTAACTCGATTAATGACTTAATAATACGAGAAATTTTGATCGTAAGAGACGCTCTGAGTCACAGCGTCAACGTGATAGGAAATTTCTCAGGAAATTACACTTAGAGACCCATCCTTTTTCTTGTATTTCAGGAAAGTTTTACCATCGGACCCCCTCCCCTAAATAATTTTCGACTACGTCACAAACAACTTAGACGTATCCAGGCGTGAATTAATGGCGTGGCGTGCTTTGCGATATATCGATTGATCTGACATTCAAAATCGATAAACAGGGTGTTCGGAACGAGCAACTTATAATCGATTCTTTGCCCCAGCTCCAAATGGGGAAAATCGAAAATCGATCATCTACGCCTCGCCACTGGCGCGAATACGGCGAGGTTATTCGTGTCTGTTTGCATTGAAAGCATCAAACAGCGATACACATCGAATTACGTACAACCATTAAATAAGTCCATGCATTCATAAAAAAGTTATATTATATCGAACGACGTAGCCCTTATCAGTAAATCAGTCCCCTATAGTTAGCCACCAAAAAAAATCAAGGCACGTTCATAGTCGAATCAGAGGCGGTACTTCGAACTCTGAGTACCTGGAGTGAGACGTCAGAGTTGCAATTACTAGGAAATGCATACATGAATTTGTCCTATTTATCGCGCTTATCGGTCGGTGTAGTTTTCAATGTCAGGAGCTGGAGCTTGCTTTTGTCACTTGCTTCAGAGCGCCATGCCATGCACGACCTTTCACGCTTCGGGTCATCCCGTGTTACAACGTGATGTTTACAAAGAATAAACCATTTTACCGCGTCGTGGTCCTTTAGAACCATGTCACCCATCCAGTGTCGAAGCGCGAATAATCTATCACCGATATTTCCCCATTTGAAGTTATGATGAAGAATCGATTATTAAGGTGTTTGTTGCGAACACCCTGTTTAACGATCCTTTTCCATAGGTTTCAGGCATAGGTTCCATAGGCAGATCAATCGATACATCGCAAAGCACGCCACGCTCCTGCATCCATCACCCATCTCGTAAATAGTTCAGTGGGCTAATCAGTCCTATGACAAGACCAATACTTATGGGAAAATGCTAAAATTACAATGCGACATAAGTCAGGAGTTGAGATAATCAGAGTTTGCAATCTAGCAGCTTTGGATGAAAGTCCTCCCAAAGAAGCTGTGCTGTGATGTGGTGGAAATCGTCGAAA